TGCTTCCCCAGCCTATCAATATGACCTACATTCTGTGTTTGCTTAGAATGGCCCCAAATAGCCTGGATCAGATGACCTTCAGGACATATGGCAAGGCCTATCTAGGTGCATGGGCTGCCGCAGAGGTGGGTTTTTGAGGGGAATCAGCAAGGAATTGTATGCTCAATGACTATTAAATTTAATTGTATTTGTTTGGCAGAGGTGCCTGAAATGTTGGATAGACACCCCCTTTTTATTTTTGTATAAATCTAAATAAATAGGTAAATAAAAACCGTTGACCCAGTAGCCCATGAATGCCCACTCAGGTCACCATGGTTTACAGAGACCCTGCAACAGGTGAAGCCATAGGGTGTTTGGCTGGTATGCCAGTGGAGGAAGTCAAGAAATGTGTCTCCATCAGATCTGCTAAAGCAGGATGACAGCTTGGTATACCTGCACAGCTGTCAATCATCTACTGTCAAGCTTCTCTCATAATGAAGAATATGAAGTTACTTTGTGGCTTTAAATTACTCACTTGGCCCTGAACTGTCTGCTTCCACAGACAGAGAACAATGGTTTGAGGGGTCAATGCTTGTTCATCTCTTAGTGTCGGCCAGTCTCATCCACTGAGGCTCTGGAGGGGCTGGATTCTCTTCCCCACTCCCCTGATCCCACAGTCTGTGAGTTGGATCCATGCCCATGCTGACTGGTGAAGGGAGCACCAGGGCAAGTCCTGGGTCCATTGCTGGTGGAGATGATCTGAGTCTGCCCATGGGTAGCAGGATGCCTGATTGAAAAAGCTATCATGCAGCCCCTGGTTAATAAAGTACCACTTGACACTGACAGTCTCAACAGCTCGCAACCCATCCAGGAGATGGTGTGGGAAGTTCAACTCTCCTCAGATTTCCTACATTCTGGTCAGTCAGGTGTTTGAGCAGGAACTGCACTGGTTGCACAGGGTGAGGATTTTCTCCTAGCAATGAACAAGAAAGAAGTGTCCATGCTCACTTTAATCACATTCTGACACCATGAGCCATAAGGTTTGATTGGGTCATCTAAAGACACAGGATGCTGCTGAGTGTTCAGACCCCTCTGGGCGGTCGGAAAGAATGGTCTGGAACAATTGCTCTTCTGCCCAGAGGACTCTCACGTGGGGCTCTGCAGGCAGTGGGGTAGCCAGGTGGAGGGAACAAGGGGAGCGATAAAAAAAAAAGGCGCCACCCGCTGTGGCGCTTTTACTCTGCCGGCAGTGCTCCGGGTCTTCGGCGGCACTTTGGCGGCGGGCCCTTTACTCGCTCCGGGTATCTTCAGCGGTACTGAAGGACCCGCTGCCGAAGACCCGTGGAGCGAGTGAAGATCCCGCTGCCGAAGTGCCGCCGAAGACCCGGAGCGCCGCCGGGTGAGTAAAATAAAAGCGCTGCAGCGGGTGGCGCCTTTTTTTTTTTTAATTGCTCCCCCGGGTGAGTACAAAGGCGCCACTTGTGCTCAGTGGGGGAGCGGCCGCTGCCCCGCTCCCCCCCAGCTACGCTACTGTCTGCAGGGCTGATTTCATGTCTCCTGTGGAATGTGTACGAGAGGGTATTAGGAGAGTTACTGAGGAAACATGTCGCACATGTAGGAATCCAGTTTGCTGATGATGCTCAGCTCTAAGCTTCCATCCTTCCCAACACAACTGGGGCAGTGGAACGAATAACTTGTCTTTAGGAACTAAGGAAATGGATGAGGGTGAACATGCACGTAAGCAAACATCTACAGTACAGACCCATTTACGCTCGAATCCGCTTAAAGTGAGGTAGCGCCATGCCTCCCAGTGCTACCTATTTAACACGTGAGACTCGTTAACAGGCGGTACAGGAACTTGCTATGTAGCGCCAAAGATTTGCTCACTAACTCACTGACACAGAAATCGACAAGAAGTGTGGAGCGGAAACATGTTGTACGTCTTTACCGATATTGGTAAAGATGTATCACGCATGCTTAGTCATTGTCTCGCTAGAGAGAGATAATATATAAAGTAGTACTGTAGTTATATAGTAATACAGTATATATACTACATTAGAAAATTTTAACTGTAGGCCTCATATAATGGCAGAGGGCAAGCGTCAGCGTTCCTACACTGTAGAAGAAAAGCTATCTGCAATAGATCGAGTAAATAGCAGAGAAACCCAGGCCAAAGTTTCAAAAGATATTGGGATTGACGAATCTGCTCTCCGAGGATGGCTAAAAACTGAATCTAAACTGAATGTCGTTGTACAAAATATTGATTCTGCCACGGGGCTTAAGCGAAAACGTGTGCGCTATTCAGCAAAACCCACAATAGACAAAGCCATGCGCATGTGGTTTGCTCAGGAAAGGCTGAAAGGAATGCCACTAAGTGGGCCAATTCTTCAAGCCCAAGCGACAAAATTTGGAAATTTAATGGGGGATGAACCATTCCAAGCCAGCAAGGGGTTTATAAGTCATCGATTTCTGGAGAAAGCCGATCAGCCAATGAATTGTCCGCGAACGCGTTTCCCGCCGAGTTAAAATCTATTTTACAAAATGAAGACTACCACGAAGAACAACTTTATAATTGTGATGAAACAGCTTTATTTACAAAACTGCTACCTGATAAGACTTTCGCCTTTAATTACGAGACACAGAAAACAGCTGGATTTAAAAAGAAAAGATCTCTTGTGTGACTCTTCTTTTTTGTAGTAATAAGAAGTTCATAACCCTTGCTGCTTTAACCACCTCAATAGAGTCAAACTGCCAGTAATATACGCTAACAGCAAAAATGCTTGGATGACGAGACACATTTTCGACGACTGGTTTCACAACAGCTTTGTTCCAGCTGTTTGTAAGCATCTGCGGTCGAAGAAACTCGAAGCCAAAGCACTTTTGCTACTTGACAATTGTCCAGCCCATCCTCCAGACAAAACACTGGTATAGAGAGATGGAAAAATTTGAGTGCAATACCTATACCTACCATTCAACACAACATCAAAAATTCAACCTTTAGACCAGGGGATTATTCAGAATTTTAAAAGTAATTATCGATGGGAGCTGATTTCGGCGATTGTGTCATGCACAACTTCAGGCATTTCCGAATTCCTGAAACAGTTAAACATGAAGGAAATTATTCATTTAGTTAAAAAAGCTTGGGACACAGTAAAACTAAAGTCCATTGAAAATTGCTGGATGAAGGCTCTCAGTGATGTTTTTTCTGTCAAAGACGGCTCAGACTCGGAAAACTCCAGCAGTGGCACTGATTCAGAGCCAGACTTTGAAGGATTTTCGGAAGAAGACGTCCTACAAACACGCATGCAGACAAAAGAGGATAAAGGTAAACTTCTCTTTCAAATGATAAAAGATTTTAGTTTGGATACGTCGCCGGAAATCATTACCGAGTGGCTGGAGATGGATGAAGATTGCCCGACTTCAGAATTTCTGTCCGAGGAAGAAATATTAACGGGCTGCGAGGCTACGTCAGACCACAAAAGCGAAGGCGAGAATTCTAATAACGCAGGCCTAAATGACAATGACGACGAGAATGTTGCTGAAAAGGTCAAAATTTTGCCCACAGAAGCCCTTAGTGCTGTAGAAACTTTTGTAAGATTTATGGAGGAGCAAAATGCGGAAAATATCGAAATCATTCATCAGCAGCGAATGACAGACTTCATAAGAAAGAAAAAAAACGTGAGCATGAAAGAGCAGAAAATAATGGCTTTTTTTCTAAGTGAATCATAGACACTTTTTTCAGCATGGCCCTCTTAACCCGCGGTCCGTTAACACGTGGTCATGACAGCTTGACTCCCAACATCCGCGCATAAATGGGTCTGTACTGTAGCATGTTAGTGAGCAGCAGGTGGAGAACAATAGTACAGCTCTACAACAGTGACAATGAGCATAAGCTACTAAACAACAGTCCACTGGAAAGGAAAGAAACCTTATTCTACCCAGGGGCGGCTCTATGTATTTTGCTGTCCCAAGCACGGCAGTCAGGCAGCCTCCGGCGGCATGCCTGCGGGAGGTCCGCTGGTAACACGGATTCGGCGGCATGCCTGCAGTAGGTCCGCCGGTCCTGTGCCTTCGGCGTACCTGCCGCCGAATTGCCGCCGAAACCGCGGGACCAGCAGACCTCCCGCAGGCATGCTGCCGAAGGCAGCCTGACTGCTGCCCTCACAGCTTGCCGCCCCAGGCACGCGCTTGCTGCGCTGGTGCCTGGAGCCACCCCTGATTCTACCCTTTTTAAATTGCTGAATTATTTCTCTCTGAAAAACATCAGTTGCACATCTGGTGTCAATACTTTGCATGCTGATTTATGATATATACAAACAGACAAAACTAAACCCCAAAGACCTGTGAACCTGATACTATCCCTTCATTAATAGTCCTTCCACTGACATTGATTTTGTTCTGCTAATACTATATCAGGTGCAAAGGAAGTGCAGACGGTCCATAATATTAATAGAAGTGTTGGAATGTTAACTGTGTCACAGACATTCTACTATTCTGCTCCCTTTGCCTGAACAATTCACAGCCCTACCAGCTTATTCCCACCCTCCCCTTGACTTTATGAGCTATTCTCACCCAATCAGGGAAAAGAAACAATGCCATGTGACTTATGTACCAATTATAATTAAACAAAACAACTCAGATTTCAAATACCTATAGTGAACAGTACATGTCTGATCCACAGAGTAAAGTTGCTGGCAAAAAAAAGGAGAGGAAGTTGCAATCTGCTCATGGGTGTTACACAAACAGGGTAAATGATTCTGTTCAGGTTCTTACCCTGAGCTGCTCACCATATGTCTTTCCATGGTATTATTCAGTGTGACTTCTTTGCTCAGCTCTAATATGTACATAGCCTACAGAGAGCTAAGTAGTAAGAAATCTAGTTCTTGAGAACAGGTTCCTCAAGAAAGAGCCTAGAACTAGCCCTTAGCACTAGGGTTGTATTGCTGCAGTGTTCATAGGACTCTGTTGCTGCACAGAAGTAGCTACATCAGGGGCCCCCTACACCCTCAAGATTCACTTACACAGATTTCATCAAACTTCCCAAAGTCCAGGGTGCCATATCTGTCGATGGGCGGTCGAATGTATTCACAATATTCACTGTTCTTGACCATCTCCAGCTGCCGCACGCAGCACACATACGCAAGCCGGGTCTGGATCTCTGCCATGTTCAGCACCTGCCAATCAGCCCCAGATAGCCATCAAATGCATTGCAAGACTTTCATTAGCACCACTTGCCCTGAACTGGCAACGGTAAAAGGGAGAAATACACTCCAGTAACTCAGGCGTATCTGCAGAGGCTTTCACATCCCACCTCCCTCAGCCTCCTAGGAGCACACTGCTGACCGCCAGCCAATCTGTCATCAATGGCAGAGACTCAGCTTCCATCTAACATATGAGATCTTTCTGCAATTCAAGCAGAAGTTGGTCATTAATTCCAGGAAATACTGGCACCTAGAAGGAGATATATAGCGTGACGTAGGAGGGGCGCGAAGCTCTCTTAGGGTGGGGATGAGTAACGAGCCAGCTTCATTTTCTAGTGCCAGACACTGCTTTAGGTGACAGCTGGGTTTGATTTGCTGTCATAGCCCCTCGTTCCTTGGGACAGAGAACATCCCAGTGTGCTATGGAGGCAGCATGTTCAATCCCACCCTGCATCACTCACAACAGATACCCACTGGGGGAGTCCAGTACTATTGAGCTCTGAAAAGGAATCCTGTCCAGTCCTCAGACCAGGCCTTTTCGAGGAGGGGGACTGCTAAAGAGGGAGACCCTAAGGATTACAGCAGGGACACAGGGAACCAGAAGGAAAAGGGAGGAAATGAAACATTAATCCGAGCTGATCTGACTTCACCCAGGAAGGAAATCCATAGCTCATGCAGCCTGTCATGAAAACAAACATCTAAGAATTTATTATTACTGCCCAATGCAAAAATCCCTACGTTCAGCAGCAAAGAAACATAGTGAAGTGGACAAAGCTCCACGCACTTTCATTTCTAAAGCAGCCAAATCCTAACTGCATCAAGATTAGTTGTGCCAAATTCACTCCAATTGGAGAGGGGCTCTTTTACCCCTATCAAAGCCAGGTCACCGGCTCTTCTCTATATTCAGGGAGCAGTTTGGGAAAAGAGGTATCTGTGCTTGTACAGCACCTAGCACAATGAGGTCCTGGTCCATTTCCAGGGTTCCTAGGTGCCTCCATAATACAAATAACGAATAATAATAATATTGTAATTCTGTAGTCCCCCACTCAGCCCCCAGCGGAATTTGCTCTTGCATGGAGAGCTGGAGTTGGACTCCTTAGAGGAACAAATGATTGGTATTTGGCTGTGTGAGTGCCACTCCTAGCTCCTCCCCAGATTCAGACAACTGAATTCTCCCATAACATTGTATTTTCTTTTATGCTGGGACCTTGCCCAGCTTTCCCACACCCCAAATGTCATCTTGCAACCCAAGATGCAGGTGACCGAGCAATCGATTCCCAGTCTTGTTTCTCAGATACACAGTGGGACAGTTCCCTTCTGCTTACTGAAAAATCACTGCGATTTTAACATAAGCTTACGGTACCTTCACTTTTTCAACGAGGGGATTCCATCTCTTCCACAGCAACCACCAGCCAGACAGAGCGTCGCCGTAGTTGGTGAGGTCCGTCTCATCCCGGCTGCCCACATCAATTGCTATCACCACTTTTGCCCCCATGGACCTTGCAACATCCGCTATTGGGAACAAAGCCACATCATCATTACCCATCACTCTTCTCTTCTACAACACTTACCTTTCTGGAGCTGGCCACTGGAAGCAGGGAAATATATTTCCAAGGATCACGACAGACCACGCAAGCACAGCATGGGACAGTACAACAGGATTCCTTTTCATACAGCTTCCAGCGCAGACATTTATGAATGCTTTGCAGGGAGAATTACTTACCTCAGAATAATGCTATACTAATTATACTCTTCATAGTGATGTATAGTACCTGGGTATAACTATCTCTTTATAATCCCTATTTATTCTAATAATTTTCTTTCAGAAACCAACACAAATGTTGATCATTAAAAGAAAGGCCTGTGGGATCATCCTTATCAAGCCAAATCCCAAAGGCACATGTCCTCCTTGCAGATCAAGCACCACCCAGATTAATCTCTGGCTAGGTACTTAAGGTGGCCTGGCTGTATATTCAGTTTAGGTCCGTCACAGGCAATCTTATTGCACCACCAAAGCTTCTTGCACCCACATGATCACTAGCTGCATAGTTGCCTTGCTTGATACATGAATGAAGCAGCACAAATGCAAGAGGACACAGAAGAGGTCAAGGCAGAATGACCAACTGGGGAGAGAAATTGATATAGGTCAGAGGTTGGGAGAATATCAGTCCATGAAGAGCTTTGAAAGTAAGGAGGAAAATTTTGCTTAGATTTAGAAATGGACAGATTAGTGATGGTGACGGGATGGAGGAGCATTTCCCACTTCCTGAAGGGACAGAGTGGTCTGGCCATGACATTCAGGAGCCTGACAGTTTAAGGAGTAGGAATTTAGGAAGATGCTAAAGGAGGGATTTGGGGTGCTGAGCAACTCACAGAAAAGAGAAATGTGGGGAGGAGAAAAAGTTCAAGATCCAGGATAACTATGGATAGTAATTCCAGAATCTCTATGGATAGTAATTCTGTGCTTGAATAATAAGAATATAGCAGTAGGGATATACTACCAACCACCTGACCAGGATGGTGATAGTGACTGTGAAATACTCAGGGAGATTAGAGAGGCTATAAAAATAAAAAACTCAATAATAATGGGGGATTTCAACTATCCCCATATTGACAGTGTACATGTCACCTTAGGATTGGATGCAGAGAGAAAGTTTCTTGACACCTTAAATGACTCTTTCTTGGAGCAGCTAGTGCTGGAACCCACCAGAGGAGAGGCAATTCTTGATTTAGTCCTAAGTGGAGCACAGGATCTGGTCCAAGGGGTGAATATAGCCGGACCGCTTGGTAATAGGGACCATAATATAATTAATTTAACATCCCTGTGGTGGGGAAAACTCCACCTCAGCCCAACATGGTAGCATTTAACTTCAGAAAAGGAAACTACACAAAAATGAGGAAGTTAGTTAAACAGAAATTAAAAGGTAAAATGACAAAAGTGAAATACCTGCAAGCTGCATGGAAACTTTTTAAAGACACCATAATAGAGGCTCAACTTAAATGTATACACCAAATTAAAAAACATAGCAAGAGGACCAAAACAGTGCCACTGTGGTTAAACAAGAAAGTAAAAGAAGCAGTGAGAGGCAAAAAGGCATCCTTTACAAAGTGGAAGTTAAATCCTATTGAAGAAAATAGAAAGGAGCATAAACTCTGACAAATGAAGTATAAAAATATAATTAGGAAGGCCAAAAAAGAAGTTGAAGAACAGCTAGCCAAAGACTTAAAAAGTACTAGCAAACATTTTTTCAAGTACATCAGAAGCAGGAAGCCTGCTAAACAACCAGTGGGGCCACTGGATGATCAAGATGCTAAAGGAGAACGATAAGGCCATTGCGGAGAAACTAAATGAATTCTTTGCACCGGTCTTCATGGCTGAAGATGTGAGGGAGATTCCCAAACCTGAACCATTCTTTCTAGGTGACAATTCTGAGGAACTGTCCCAGATTGATGTGTCATTAGAGGAGGTTTTGGAACAAATTGATAAACTAAACAGTAATAAGTCACCAGGACCAGATAATATTCACCCAGGAGTTTTGAAGGAACTCAAATGTGAAATTGCAGAACTGCTAACTGTGGTGTGTAACTTATCATTTAAATCAGCTTCTGTACCAGATGACTGAGGACAGCTAATGTGACACCAATTTTTAAAAAACTCTCCAGAGGTGATCCTGGAAATTACAGGCTGGTAATTTTATGTTTCATTGAATTTAATGTTATGTGAATTCTCCTGTTAAGAATGATATTGCTTTGAATCTTAGACACTAAGAGCAGTTAATATTTCACCATTGTTGCATATTTAGAAATCAGTTCATATTTATGCTCTGTTCTTCCAACAGATTCAAGGAAAAAGACAACCATATGTTTATAGTTTTATTCCTTCGCTCCTCCCCAACCGTTTTTTAAAAATATACACGAGAATATGTTCTAATAATTAGCCTGACATTATATTTTTGGCACATGATTTGAAAGGAAACATTCCATCCCAAGAGGCCATCTTGGAAAAGCCTGTATACCAACAGGCTTTGAGCCCCTTTGGAGGGAGGGATAGCTCAGTGGTTTGAGCATTGGCCTGCTAACCCCAGGGTTGTGAGTTCAATCCTTGAGGGGGCCATTTGGGGATTTAGTTGGGGATTGGCCCTGCTTTGAGCAGGGGGTTGGACTAGATGACTCCTGAGGTCCCTTTCAACCCTAAGGATCTATGAACAAAGCAAAGGCCCTGTATCCAGAGGACAATGCAGCTCTGCTAGCCTCCAAGAGATCAGAATGGAGTTGTTCGGGAAGGTAATCACACTGACATATGCCTGTGCAGATGGAGTTTTACCATCTGTCTTCTTGGTGAATTCCAAACAACTATCTACAAACATACCTGGAAGATTGTTGATATAACCTCCATCCATCAAGAGATGTCCATCCTTTGGATCACAGAGAGGGGGCATGTACCCAGACAGTGACATGCTGGCACGGACATACCTCCAAAGGGAACCTACAGCAATGAGAGGGAAGACATCCATACTAACCCAGTATGGCAGGAATGGGCGGGGGCGGCTTTCAGAGTCATTACATGTAATTTTGTGACAGATAATATCCCGAGGGTTGGATTGCAGAATGTTATTAAAGCACCCGAATGACTCCCAAATCATAATGCAGGCTAGGAAAAGAGTTACTCAGTCTCCAACTCAGCAAAGCACTTAAGCACACACTTAACTTTAACCATGATCTTAAGCACTTTCCTGTATCACAGCCTCCACCACCACGAAAGAACAAGGTTTCTTCTGCGGACAAATGATGGGGAGGAATCACTAGCCTCAACTGTGCTGAAGGCCATTAACCCCCAGGAAATGCCACATGCGGCGGAGCTGAACACATGGAATATGTATTTGACTCCCTCCCTTCCCCCCAAGTTTTACCCGTGTTTAGATTTTTAACAGGACAGCAGAGACATCACTATAAAGATGTGGGATTCACCCCCTGCACCCTTTTTGCTTAAGCAACGTTTCGACTTACAACGCAATTCTGAGGAACGAATTGTGTCGGAAGTCCAAGGACTCCCTGTATCTGTAGCTTCCAGCCCTTCTAGCAACTCACTTCCCACTCATCTTCTATACGCCAAAGTTATCTGCCTTGCTTGCTGTTTAACCCTTCATTTTCCATGCAGCCTGCTCCAGTTTCTGAACAGCTCAGTCCAGCTCTGCCAAACAGCATCAAGGAGGCCCACCACCCAGCATGCTGCTAGCTGGCTGGAGGAGCACACCAGGGTCCTAGTTAACCTCTGGTGTAGATACACCAGGGATCATTATTCCAGCTGGAGCTTCAGAAATAGCCCCTTCTATGAGGCCATTTTGAAGAGACTGGTGGAGGTGGGCACCCACCAGACTGGTGAGCAGTGCAGGAAGTGCATCAAGCACCTGAAGCAGCTGTACTACAAGGTGAAGGATGCAAATGGCAGGTGTGATAGGCAATGTACCCTCTACATGCCCCTGCTATGAGGAGCTAGACTGGCTGCTTGCCACCCTGAGCACTGAGCCCACCGTCCTCCGTGACATAATATTGACCAGGGGCAATCTCACGTGTGATCCAGCCTGAATGCAAAGCAGGGAAAATTAAATTTAAACACACAAGTAGTGACTCTTTCAAACTACCTTTATAATTATTCCTTGCAAAACAATTAAAAGAGTACACGTTTTGCAAGCATGAGCGCAAATCTTTGCAAATTCTGCTCAATAACAACTCTGTCACATCAATGTAATGATATAGATTTATACCTTGACTAGCAAAGCACTGTCCCAAACACCATGGCTTATAAGTCCCTTGGGCTGCACCAAGTGGTAAAGTCCCTTTTGGACCTCAGTGCTGGTCCTTTTTGCTCTGGCTATTCACAGGAAGCTGTCTGGGATGGGATGCGGGAAAGTGGGGAGAATCCACTCTGCTGCTAGCAATCCTCTGCTTCCTAGTTTGGCATCCTGTTGTTCACCTGAATTTTCCTTCACTACCTGCAGGTGATGCTTGAAAATGTTTCCTGCAGCAGAAACTCTAGTCTATCAGTCAGATACCTAGACAGGGCAAACTTGCTATGGCTGTCCAGAATTTACTAAACCTCTCCACTTGCGGATATGCTGTTCAATCAGCAGATACGAAAACATCTCCTTTGCGTAGATGGATGGAATCCCACCACAGGTCTGGGAAACAGCTTCTCTTTTCCATTCTGGAACCTCCAGAAGATTTGTATCTTCTGGCCTGCAACAATGTTACAACCAACACTGGTAACACTGCCCTTGCTAGGACTTCACACCTCACCCTCTCTCAGCCAAGCCCAAATTTTTAAAACCTGGTTAATGAAATGCACATCTAATTCTTACCAGAATATGTCTGTGGGCTGCCAACATTAGCTGTAATAAAAGCATTCCAAAGTGATAAAACTGTAGCCTGGTGTTGATGCGGAACTTATAGGGAGGGACTCTTTCCTTTTTTAACCATGACCAAAAAAATGCTCTTTCACTGCCTTGGCAAGCACTTCCACCTCAGATGGACCGAGCCTCCCAGCCAGGACTCTGGTGGATAGGACTGTCCATCAGTAGGGTGTGATGAATGTGGAAATTCTGATAATATATTTTTTATTCCTCTGCATGCCTCAGTTTCCCCTGGGCTTTGCACTGTTATGCACTGAGTGTAAAGGGAAGGCAAAAGGTGTTTGACTCACACAGCAACCTGGTTGGAGACCAGAGACATTAACAAACTCAAAGTCTGCACATGTGACTGGAGGATCCAGATGAGACAATGGAAATCCCAATGGCTGGGACAGTCACACCTAGCAATAACAGCCAAGAGGAAGGAGATTCCCTTCCCCCCACACCTCTCTGCAGAGAAGCAGAGAAAAGGCCCAAAGCTAGTGAACAAAGTGGAAAGGTTCTGTGGCTGAGATAAGTAGGGATCCTATTTTTCTGTGATAAAAAAAAAAACTCCAATAAAAAAAACCATAAAAATCTGTTTTTCCATGATTAAAATGAAACGCTGAACTTTAGTTTCCTTGGCCACAATATATATAGGTATCAGTTGAACACAATGTTTTATTGATATATTTACAATTTTTAAGCAAGTTCAAAGACTACTAGAGCCTTCAATCATTATAATAAAATAAAATTAATAGAATTGCAATTTGTATTTCTTACATATACCAAATACTTCTATGTCTGTATTCTGCATTTTCAGAAAATTGTTTTTTTAATGCACAAAAAATTAAGCGAAAATTGCTTTTATATTAACATTACTCACTGTCTGAGTTAGTCTGGGAGGCTGAAGTGAAATTTGAGATGCACTAAAACATGAACACCTATACACGTTGGGTAACCTCTATCCGCTGGAGACAGTTTATTGGAGTATGTTTAGCTATGTAAATTTAAAGCACATTCAAAAATCAACCACAAGGGGGAGGTTGCGCACATTGAATAAGCAACATTGGTACTTTCAGGAAAATGTAGTTAATAGTTAATATATGTTTTTATTTTTTCACAAAATGTAAAAACTGAAGATTCTCTGTAAAAAACGTAAATTCCATGGTTTTCTGTGTCAAACGGATTTCTAGGATCGCTAGTGACAAGAGTACAACAATAAAAATTGTTTACAAATTACAGGCCCCCATCACAGCATCACATCTCTTCATCCACATCCCCCTCCTTTCCAAGGATGTGGGAAAACAAGGCATCCCTTACTTCCTTTTCCTGCCTGGACCCAGCCCCAGTGATTCCAGGTCTACTTTCTGGTTACCTATATCTAGCCTGAAACCAGAAGTTTCTTAAAGACCACTCTGTGAAAATACTCACTTTTATCCTCACAGATGTTGTGCAGAGTGCAGCAGGCCACAATAGAACAGAAGGCACTGGCCATATTATCATATAGTTTTATATGCAGCGTCACCTTGTCTTCAGCCTGCCAAATGGGCACTCCACCACCATCTGTAACTGCACCTTCTCTTGCCAGGCCTTCTGATATCAGAGGATGGTTTCACGAGCAATGGCAGGAATGGGAAGGCGGGACCCCCAAAAATGACAGTGGGCACAGACATGCCATTGAGAATTATGTCATTAGGAGGGAATAAAGTCCCTGCTACTCCCAGCAGGTAAAGGCCAGATCGTCTTAGCACCCTGACATCCTGGACATTTCCCCTCTTTCCCCGGTGGTGTCCAAGAATCTGCCTCTGTGACTGTCCAAGGCTTGTAGAACCTGGGAATAGAACCCTTAGCAGTTGATATATTCACTTGGTTCTTCTGGAGGGCAAACTATGGGCACACGTCTGCCATTAGTGGCCCCAGTGCAATTGGGAAACCCCATTTTCAATTGGGAAAGCCAGCTACTATTTCAGGCACATTTCTTATGCCCACCACCTGTTAGGTAAACCACAGTGAGAATCGCCTCACAAACCTTCACTGACACAACCCCAACAGTGGACTTGCCAACACCAAACTGGTTAGCCATGACCTATAGCAGTCTGGGGTAGCCAGCTTCCAGGAGGCAGTTGCAACCCACTTCTGGACTGGTATGGCCCACCTCAGTCAAGTGGTCTGACACTGAAGAATTGGAGCAAGATCCTTGCACAGCTCCATGAAGGTCTGCTTTGTCATTCAGAAGTTCTGGAGCCACTGCTGGTCATCCCAGGTCTGCATGACTATGTGTCCCCATCACACTGTGCAGTTCTTTTGCACCGGAAGCACCAATCTACATATGTTGAATCCTCAATAATTGCAGTATTCATCAGGTTTGTCCAGTCTGCTGTGAATGACCCTCTAAGTCCAGCCGCCTTCTGCATTTCAGAAAATGCTCCCCAAATGCCATCCAGTGTTGCTGAATGACTGCCCTGCTGGATAAATGATTCACCTCCAAGCTGGAGCAGCTCAGTCACTGGATCCATGCCTTAGGTGTGAGTAATGTGCAGAGCCAGAAGTGTCTCAGCTAAACATGGCAGGCTACAACCACTTCTGCATGGGGAGCCAGGAAGAGAAGACAAGTTCTCCCACAATACACCACAAACCAATTCCTAGAGCAGTTCCAGTTGGTAAGATACTAAGAACGCTGAGATACACGCCCAGAATCCTAGCACTAAACACATGTAACTGCAACGCCAACATGGACATGGGTACGGGGCATGTGCGACTTGCTGTGTGGAAGCTTAGCTAACTTGTGCCTGCCTGTGGGTGAGCCAGAATGTGGGCACACACTGCACTGTAGACATACCCTCAAATCTTCCCTGAATGGTGCCAATTATTTCTGTTAATAGTACTGAAATGAAGGCAATTATGACTGGTTAGAAGCAGAGAGATTTAATCAGGCAGGAATTGATTGGATCTGCTTCCTACAAAATGTACTGCTTTAAAGCTCCTATTTAGTTATTTTCTCCCCCTTATAATTTCTTCCCTATTCAGGTTTGCTGCAAATTGCATTTTCAAATAAGCCAAGTACAAATGTCACTCTCACACCAAGGGGTAAAGTTTCATTATATTAATGTTAAATTGGAGTTGCAATGTTCCCTCCACAAGCTCAGCGCTCAATAGTTAGCCCTTAGCACATCAGACTTCAAATCTTGCTGGTCAAACTGAGTCTAGAGAATTTTGCATCTAGAATCTTTCATTAATGGTTCTATGGATTTGTAACAGTGTTTCTTTTGTCTATCAGAGGTCAATGCTGGTAGGACATTTGCTCTTCACTACTTCTGGTTATAGGTTTACTTGGGATCTCTAGATGGGGAAAAGATTGGCTTTTGGGATCTCGTCAATAAAATACTGAAGACTGACTAATGCTTGAGGTGGATGTGTTTGGGGGGGTTTATTTTAAAACTTATTCCTGGAAAAAGGAATCTGTGTTCTCAAATGCCATGCAGGATGTAGCTGAATTAACAAAACAGACACACTGGTGGGGGAGGAGGAAAGCAGAAAGATGTGCCGGCAGGAGCTGGCACTGATAAGTGGCTGCCTATTGATTTTACAAGGTGTCTTCTTAACTGGTATTTCAGAGATAGGCTGCTCTATAGTATTAAAGGCCTCTCCACAAACTACTCCACCAAAATAAGGCCGCTGGTGCTGAACAAAATTTGACCATAAGATCATTAATGTCAAGTGGTAACTCATTACATCTCAATGAATAGGAAGCACTTGAAGAGCCCATTTATGATCCCCTAGAAGAGGAGACTGCAAGGGAATGATGAATGAGAGAACTAAAAGGGAAAGCTCCCAGCTTCCTCTTATCCCTTTGCTATTGCACATGTTTAGAAGGAAGACATGGGAATCAGATGGGTATGTTTTACTGAGAAAAACAGAAGTGATCAAAGTCATATGGTGCAATGGCTGGTAGCGTGCAAAACTTGTCACTATTTTCTTTCAAAGAGAAAATCACCTGCCCGGTATAGAAAATGAACACTGTGCTGTGAGTAGCGGCTAAATTTTAATCTATTGTCTTGGAACACTCCAGCTTGGTGTAGCATACTTGCAAGTTTGTCACTTCCCTACTAAGAGGCAAGTTCTCCAACAGCCCAGTTTAAAAGAAGCAGGGAGAACTCAGCCATATTTTTAAATGGTTTTGTGAAAAACCACAGAAAAGGACAATAATCTGGAGCCAAACAGAGGTGAAACTAATATTGCATAAGCAAAAATAGTCAACAAACCAATGGGCTCATTTACACTAAGACCCTTTTACACTGATTTGGCAATGTACGACAGCCTTAAAGTTATAAAGATCCCTATATAGTGCCAGAGCAATAAAGGGGCCTTATTGTAAATAAGCATCTGACCCCATGTCTCTTCCTGGGGAGAACAGCTAGATTCATGAGGGCTTTTATTTAAATCCATGATTTTTACAATTAATTTTGATTTATGGGGCAGTTTTTGTATTCCATGCATGTTTTTATGAACACACTGGTGTCCATAAACTAATTTACACTCCATGCAGTGAATCATCTCGCCTATTTCAATTCCTCCAGGTGCTATAGCTTCTTGTTATCTGTGTGCAACTGTGGATCCTGGTGTTCAGCAGGTAGCACTGAGAAGGAGGAAGGAAAAGTAAAGGGATGGAAAGGAATGAAACTATACAGAAAGGCTGGCATTCAAACATCACTGCAAGCTCAGAGACACACCCCTTCCTGCAGAAGACTGGACACACTTACCATCTGTGTGGACCCTCATGGCTGACGCAGTAATGTCAGTCGTGATAGTGAAATAAGGAATCCACAGATCCTGCAATATAGGAAGTGTCAGTTTTACAGTCATCAGTAACCCTGGATGTAAGCTGACAAGCAATTTTAACACAGGGACATACACGCATAAATGCCTGCACACAGAGATGAAAATGCCAGCCCTGTGTGGGTGGCTAAAAATCTGGCTCTAAAGCAAACACTTAATGTATAACCAACTGGGATGAAAAGCTATGTTCTCTTTTCCTAACACTAGTGAAATAGTATTTCCAGGAAAATAAGGTGTTTGAGATTCTCAATATACAATATAGGATATAGCAGATCCAGAACCTATGTTTGTAAAAGCCATACTTACTCCTTTTGGAGTTAATTAATCTCCAGCATTAGCACTCTTGACAGCAAAACCCATCTTACACAATTACAGAGGAGAAAATGTGAATGCCAAGTAGAAGTGAGTTTTTAAAGGGCAAACAAAATTATATTGGAAACTTTGGGGATGCTTTGAAATAATCCTGTAAGACGAGGGTTTGCCCAGTGGGAGTCCTCCTTAGTGCAAGTCTCACTGTTACTTTTAGGAGACATCCCTACAGATACTCATTTTTCAGTCTCAATGTCTTTACTGGCATGAGTCATGAACAAGTGCTGGCAAAGTTAATTTGTGTCTGTCTGTAGGACAGGTATAACAGTGATAATGGGGTAGCTGGGGTCTATAACTTTCCATTTTGCATCAGTGTCTATTTCTGAGGTGGTGACAGCTGATGTATATGGTGTAACTTGCTGGGGACGGGGGAAGGGGGGGTTTTCTTCCTCACTTTTTGGTGGAAGTCTTACCACCTCCGACATCGATACTTCTTCAGACTCTGAGAAATGAGTCCAGGACTTGGCCTACAACACTAGGCTCAGCTAAAGATACACAAGCTCATGCTTTAGATTTGTTTTTTCCCTTACATAAAACATTTTCTTTTCTTCAACACAGGAAGGCCCAGGAAATCAGAGCAGAGATGGAGACTCTAAAATGTGACATTTTCTAATGACACCCTGTATGCAAGAGACATGCTACATCACAACTGCATGTAATACTGACATAGCACACCGCAGTGAAATCCTCACCCCACTGAAGTCAATGGGAGCTTTGCCAATGACTTCAATAGAGCCAGGACTTCACCCCAGATCCAAGTATATTTTCCCCCATTCATTCCATCATCCATTTCTCTTCAAAGCTCCATTCAACAATTCTCTTTGGGACTGAATGCTGCAATGCACAAAGGGCTTCTAAGAGGTGCTGGGTGCTGTCAACGCTCACTGACTTTACTGGGAGCAAAAGGTGCCTCCAAAACACTCAGCACCTTGCAGTAACAAGCTCTCTAGCTGTTCCAACTGTTTCATTCCTCTCACTGAATATTACATATTTTCCTATGTTTAAACCAAGCTTAGAATCAGATGAGATCCCACTAAGCTAGATCACAATAATATCAACGTGATTTATGAACTATTATTAAGAACCAGCAAATACTTGGTGCCTGTATAATACACAAAAATAAAGGCAGTTCCAGCCCCAAAGAGCATTATCATTTAATCGTTAAACACCTGTTTATTCACGGCCCCATACACTCTGGGTGGCAACACATTACTGTAAACACTGTTTAAAACCACCCAAGGTGATTCAGTTCCCAACTCAGCATAGAAACCCAAGTGAATATTCCAGATGATGCAGTACATTTAAAAAAAGCTGTTTATTAAACATAGTCTGATACCAAGAGGATTCCAAATAGATTCACAGATTCCAAAGCCAGAAGGGACCATTGAGATCATCTAATCTGGCCTCTTGTATAACACAGGTCACATGACTTCTCTGAATTAATCCCTGTTTGAACTAGAGCAGATCTTTTAGAAAATCATCCAGTCTTGATTTACAAATCGCCATTGATGGAGAATCCACCATGCCCCTTGGTAAGTTGTTCTAATGATTAATTAACCTCATTTTTAAAATATATGTTTTATTTCTAGTCTGAACTTGTCCAGCTTCAACTTCCAGCCATTGGACTGTGTTGTACCTTTCTTTGCTAGATCTAAGAGCCTGTTAGCAAATTTTTGTTTCCCACGTAGGTACATATAGACTGTGATCAAGTCACCCTTAACCTCTTCGTTAAGCTAAGCAGATTGAACTCCTTAAATCTATCACTATAGGGCGGGTTTTCCATTCCTTTAATCATTCTTGTGGCTCTTCTCTGAACCCTCTCCAATATATCAACATCCTTCTTGAATTGTGGACACAGTACTCCAGTAGTGGCTGCACCAGTGCCAAAAAACAGAGGTTATATGACCTCCCTACTCCTATTCGAGATTCCCATTTATACATCTAAGGATTGTATTAGCCCTTTGGCCAAGGCGTTGCACTGGGAGCTCATGTTCAGAGAAGCATCTCTGACAAACACGCAGGTATATGGATTACAGTAGAGCAAAATGGGATACGACCCCAGAGCTAGACAAATGCTCCCCTGATTGGGGTAGCTGGGAGGAGAGTTTTTAATCATGTGCTTTATGACGGTGACAGTGGAGGATGAGGTGACATTTCACATGTCAGTAGTTTCACAGGCATCCTACACAGTGCCTAAAAATTACAAAAAAGGTCCTGACCTACAATACAGAGAGCAGAAATGGGTTTATTTAACATTCAATGTGTTCATTCTTAAAAAGTCAATGCACATTTTAAAATGTTCACTGCACTTTTTTAAGCCCTTTCTGTGGAATGCATCTCAAAGGGTTATACAAACTCTTCTTCCAGAAGAGAGACTAGTTTAAAAGAATTACCAACTGGACTAGAAAGACAATAGTGAAAAACCATTTAGGTTTGTGGTCAGATGTACTCCCCACACCGAACCTGAGAGAGCTGAATTAGGCGAGGCAGGCCCAATCAGCCAGTTAAGCAGCAAATGAGGTGGAATTAGGCTGGAGAGCCTTGATTAGAAAGGAGGACACCTGTGAGGGATCAGCTAGGGGCTTCTATAAAGCCAGGAGGCTGGCAAAAGCATAAGGGGGCAGCAGGGAGGAAGTCTGTAGCCTCTCTCCTTGGAGGGGGGAAGGAACCCCTGAGACCTAGTAGGCCTTAGAGAGATCTGACTAGGCGGCCTGGAGAAACACAGTAGGAAGTAGTCCAGGGGCTAGAGCAGTAAGGTGGGTGCCCTGCAGACCTCAACCACTTGTTACAAGGCCCTGGACTGTAACCCAGAGTAGAGGGCAGGCCTGAGTTCTCCTACCAACCACTGCAGAGTAGGACTGCTTGGGGCAGCGAACTAGAAGACTGTTTGGGTCATTGCAGGAGTGACAGGGTCAAGGCTGTGGGCATGAGGAGGACTGCCTGACGCACATGAGCAGAAAGACTTTGAAGGACTCCCCACTGGGAGGGGAATTACAGTGTGACCTGGCTGGAGGGCTGAGTCACAAAGCAGCTGTGTTGCGAAGCTGTGAATGGGAGGAGAGCTGCAGACGGTGGAAGAGAAGGAAGGGGGCACTGAACTGGGCAGAGCTAATCCCCAGAACACCAAAAGGAGTCACTCACTGCTGGGTTGTGCCATGGCCCTGACTCCTCCCTCCGAGGCTGGTGCAATGTTAAGTTAATAGTTACAGTAGGCTGTACATCAGGCCAGAATACCTAAACTATTACGAGCATAGAAAAAACAGACCTTTCTATTACAGTTCAACAGGAGGAGAACATTTATTACACTATAGCAAATTAGCAAGTTACCTCAATCTGTTTGTCTTTGAAGATGTTGCTGATGCCACTGTTAAATGAGGCTCCAGAGAACATGGAGGTTATTGGATATGTCAAGTCTAGCACAGTCTTAAACACTGAATTCATATCCTAAAAGGAGGAAGAAAACATTTCAAAGGTGAGCTATATGGTGGAAACCCACTGAAATCCTATTCATCTGCATTTGGAGTAAGGTTCTGTTTCAATTTTTAAAGCAAAGATGAGTGAGCTACTCTGGTGAACACAGTCATCAAAAGAACCAAAAACGTAACAGCAAGGAACAATATCTGCTTTGTTGGGTGTCACAGATTAAAATAACTTCAAACTCTGTATTTAGCTTCTATTACGGATGCAGAAAAATATGCATCTGCATTACTTAGCTTATGCAAAAGTCCACCCTAAAGTAGCAAAGTCTCTACAGCAGAAAAACATGGCCACTGCCATTAGGTAGGCATTTCCCACGCAATCTATTTCTGGAGACTGTGGAGTGTGGAAAGATTAGAGGACCTCAGCCCTTCCCATCTTCTGTATCTGTTTAAGCTTGACACTAAAATGAGTAAGTTTGACTATATTGTATATGTCCTGTTTTTACATAGAAATGACAATATAAAGCTAGATTATCATGGCTGAGATGCAAGAGGATATGGTATATGTGGCTAGAACAGGGGGCTGGGTGTGAGAATTTCTGGCTGTATTCTTGGCTCTACCACTTGCTCATTAAGTCATTTTTGGGCAAGTCTATAACCTCTTTGTGCCTCGGTGTAACACTTCTTAAATCCATATAATTCAACCTCCACGGGTGATGTCATGCCTAATTAATTCATATTTTAAAGAGCTTCCAGAGCCTGCCTCTATCTTCAGTGTAACAAGCCCAAACTAGAATTAAGCTGTCATGGAATTTCTTTTAGTTTCAGATTTGCTAAATCTTTGTGCTAAACAATGTTTCCTTCATTTAATTTACTAGTTTATTAATTTAATTTGAAAATCAGGAAGCATCCTATCCATTAGCATAGCTGCATTATCTGGGCTTGAGTGAAATACAGGACTAAAGAAGCTTAATGTCTGAGTATATTATATCAAATTAAATTAAAATTCAATGCAAGACATCTAAATATGCAAATGATATCATCCTAGTTAGTGTGTCAATTTTAAATACCACACCAAGAGAATAATCCACTATTTTTTTTCTAAATTAAATAGCATTTTATTAGACAAAAATCTTTTTTCCCTTCCACATCTTTTCTATGACTTAATGAATGGGGCTTAGGCAGGCAGGAACTGGGGCGGATTAACACAGGCTAATGCACCAACAAGGCCTCTATGGCTGCAGTCCATTAAATGATTTGTAATCAACATCTAGTTGCCTCTTCACCTTAGCAAGGGTTTAAGAAAGTGCAGAACTAGCCCACATCATGATTTCCATTCTCCTCTATCCATATTCTACCTGCTCTGAGACAGTGTGATTGTTAAAACAAAGTTCTATAAAAACAGGTCAGCTAAAAGAAGCTGAATAGGGAACTCCTAAAACAGCTGAAATGCCTTAGCACAAGATAACAGAACTGTCAGCTTCACATCATTGCACACTTCAGTCTTTGAGAGGGTGGAGAGAGTTTGCCAAACCTAATTATGAACATGATGGTCATAGCTCCAGAGTTAATAGTGAGGTAAGTTTTACACTTCAAGGAGGGATTCAACCTGTTATATGTGACAAATACAGTGAATCCTTCCAAAATTAAAGTACTTAAAAAAAAAAAAAGTATAAAATGATTTTTGGGAATATACCAGAAAATCCATTAGTTTGAGTTATAATTAAATTGTTAAATAGAACCTTCAAGAAATTTAGTGCCTAGTGTCATACCTATTTTTGTCCCTACTAGTCTTAACAATGCAGACTTCCCATAGAGTAAATACTCACTGAAATCTTGTACATAAGGTACTGTGGAAGAAATATTTTAGAATTAATGGTAATTAATTCTACTTCATAACAACATATTCTTATTCTTCATAACTGAAAGTTTCTCCTTTAGCTGAACTGCCCTCTTCCAAAGTAGCTGCCATCTCCTATTGCTCTTCATGGGGCTGAAGGTACAGGCTGCCCTTAGCAAAGATGGCTCACTGCCTGCCTTCAGCTGCTCCTCACAGTGCTCCTTTCTCTACTTTCCAAAAATAAAGAAGGCCGCTATTTTCCCTGAAAGTAGCTTGGCTTCACTCCCAAGGCAGTGTCCGTTTGTAAAGAGGACATCTTAACCGTGTACAGCCTGTGGCCTCAGTCTCAACTGATAAGATATGGCAGCCATTCTGAAAGATGGCAATTCTTCATGAGTTCATCAGAGAGAAGATTTTATTGTTCACCCTCTGTTGAGGGATATATTTGAACTTTTTAAAAACAACAAACATGATCATTAATCCTAAAACAGGTATTTTCAAAAACTATCTACCAGATCTACTCAATGAGCAGAGGAAAACTAGGGTTTGTGAACAGGGGAATGTATGGGGTGCAGAAGTGAGAGGAAACTGCGTGCAGGGTAACATGGAAGTCAGGAGACAGGGGCACCAGCGAAGTGCACGCACCAGCTACTTTGTTTGGCTCTGGAGATACAAAACTGCCATAAACTCATCTTAACTGGCCAGAACACTGGCAACCAGAGTGTCTGGGTGTGTCTAGCTGTATGAGCTAAAATTTAAAAAAAATGATTCAAAGTTAATATTACATATTTCTATTCTCTTCAGGTTTCTTGTTTAATGTTCATGTATAATACTTTAATAATTTGAAAAAACCCAACAAGCAAAGAAATTCCCAGGGAAAGTCTAAATTAAGATTGATTAACGGTGGAGCATACATGTCAATATTTTAGCGTAACTACATTGCATGGACGTTGTAATTATTCCAAAACCAACCACTATAAACCCAAGAAATAAGACTGAACTTCAAAGAAATCCAAACAGCTCAAGGCCTGAAAATGCATGACTAGAGCATCCAAAAAACCTTAACAACATTGTAGTGACATGAAGGGGGGGAGAAGACTATATAATGTTTTTAAAAATCAGTTTAAGTTACTCTGGGACTATAAACATTGAAATAGTTTCACTACAGGGGACAGTTAAGGTTGTTTGGGTTACTTTGGTGCATTTCGAGATCATAGGCATGTTTAGATTTCTTTTAAATTGAACCTTAGCTCTATATTTCCTGGGTTTATAATGCTTGTGTTGGCCCCTTACTGAAATTTAGTGAGGTGGTTTTTTTTTTTGGTTGGCCCTCTCCCAATACCAAAAGAAAGGAGAAGAGCTAAAGAGAAATGAAGATCTTGAGTTGACAGTCCCCAGGGCCAATGGGGAGAGGCCAACGCTCCAGGTTAGCCTGATTGACAGGGTGGGCAAGCCAATGAGAGAGTCAGGAGCCCGAGTCCCCTCCTCTGTGTCGGGTGCAGCCAGGATAGGGCAGAGCTAAGGGGACAGCAGCAGCCCGAACTGAGTTGGAGGCAGAGCAGCAGCCAGCATCAGAGGGGCCAGAGAAACAGCCCAGAAGGCAGAGTGGGGCTGGAGACAGAGCTGGGCTGGAGGCAGGGCAACAGCACTGAGCCAGAAGAGGCAGAGCTAGGGAGCTGGGGAAGCACAGATCATCCGTGCCTATGGTGAGTCAGGGCTGAGCTACAGTGGGGAGCTGTGGGGCCAAAGGCTGGATGGCAGAAGCCCGACATGCCACAACTAACACTACTGTTGAGCGCAGTGAGGGACTGGAGAGAGTGAAGTGGGACCCTTGACAGAGGGCCGAGTGGAAGGAGACGTTGCCAGACAAGAGGGCCTTGAAAGCTTGCCGGGGCGGGGGGAGGAGAGGGAGGAGGGAAGCCAATGTGAAGCCGACGGGAGGAGGGGCCAGTACTGGGGAGAAGGGTCCCTGGCACCTAGCGCCTGAGGGCGTGTGGCTACTGCCAGAGCAGGCGTCTGACCCACAATATCACCGCAGTGCAGCCAAGTCCTGAGAGGGAGGCCTAAGACAGGTGAGGAACAGTCTGTGAACTTTCCTTACATCCCTGAGATGGCTGTTTGTGGTGTTCCCTGTGTCCATAAGGGAGGATTCCTTATTTCCTTTACCCTTTTCCATTTTATACTTATTTTTCTTACAGATTCTGTTTAATAAATTACATTTGGTTTGAACTTAATGTAGTGCGCACTAGGCCAGGGAAGTAGGAGACAGCACCCCAGAGTGGGGACACCCTAGCCCCCGTCCTACGTGACCACGACAAGATTGGCGGTTCAGCCTCCCAGGAACCTTGGGCCTAGCCTTGTCGGGGTTCCGAGGATTCTGCTGCACAGGAGAGTGGAAGGGGAGCTCTCAAAGTCAGGCAGGGCTCTGGGTAAAGGTAGTGGGAGAGAGGACTCAGATCCTTTCACTAGCCAATTCCACTGGGATATTGCAGGAGCCAGAAAAGCTCCCCACAATAGCGGGACCATTCCCCCACTTACACTTGGTTTGGGGATAGTTACAACATCTAGGTAAGGCATTTTACCGACAGACAAGACCTCTCCACCCTAGCTCCATAATACTGTAGTTCCTGTGACTATTAAATAGCAGTGTTTGAATGTTTGCTTTTTAAAGGCTTCCACAAAAAACATGTTCAATACTTAAATGTTCCCTTCTAGTGTGGGGACCCAAATGCACCAGCACTTGGCTAGTGCATGGGAATCAAAGCAAGCTCACTTGAAATGCACTATAAAGGAGAAACTGATCAGTCTGCTTTCCTTGTCCAAATGGAGTAGAAACCCTGGGAAAATGCAGTGACTAAAACCCCCACGATTGCTTAAAAATATTTTTTTAATGCAATTTAAAATTAATGAGCTGTGCTGATGGCAGCAAATCGCACCAGAGAGTTCATGAGCAGGCTGCTGATGCACTGCTCATGTCCACAGACAGGAGGCTACAGCACACATGAAATGTGTGTGCCCTGCTGCTCGTATTTTAAACTGCAGAATTATTTGTTTACAGACAGCCTGTTATTGATCAGGGACTTTTTTTAAACTCTGTAGTTCACCTTAAACATTCTTTGGCATGTGCTATGTCCATGTTAGATTTGAAGCTAACATAAGAGCACTCACTCATGTCTGACTACCAA